AAAATGGGAGAAAATCAACAAAAGGAATAAAATGGGGAAGAAATATCTACCAGTGGGGATATTTCAGAAATTAATTCAGAAATTGGAATTAAATCAGATCTGTAAACCTGCAGTAATTGCAATATTGTGATTTTCTGTGCCAGCACAGGTGACAGAAACGGGAGCAGCATTGGGATCTGATGGACAATGGGAAATTCTGAGAACATTGTTTGGAATTTCACTTTGTGTGCAGTGATTTAGGGGTGTGAAAACAAGAGAGCAAATCATGGATTGTAACGACAGCCAGAAAAATGGCAAAGCTGTGTTTTGGGGTGAATTCACGAGAAATCGCTGTGAAATCCATCCCAACGGAAAAATGGGACTCTGGGAACTGAGGGGAACGGGGTTGGATCAGTCCTGGAGCTTCCCGAGCTCTGCTGAGCCCAACCTGGGACAAAATCCCAAATGGGGATCCCAGAACAGAGCTGGGACACAAATCCCAAATGGGGATCAGGGAACAGAGCTGGGACACAAATCCCAAATGGGGATCAGGGATCCCAAATTTCCAGGTCTCCCAGTAGCACCAACAGGCCTGTGCTGGGAATTGGAAAACACGAGTTCTGGGGAGTTACACCCCAASTGCACCTCCCAGACTGCCCAGAAACCACGGAAAATTCCAGGGGGAAGCCAAGGACACAACAGATCATCAGCACTCAATGGTCTGAAAATCGGGATAAAACTCCAGGAGGAACCACAGAAAGAATTCCAACCTCAGTCACAGCCTCAGGTCAGAAAAGCTGAACTTCCACATGACTGAGCCTCCAACCTCTTCCCAAAAAAATGGGAATTTCCACCCAAATCCCACCCGTTACACCCCAACTGCACCTCCCAGGAAAACTCCAAGTGGGAGACACCAAGGACACAATGGATCATCAGCACTCAATAGTCTAAAAATCAGGATAAAACTCCAGGAAGAACCACAGAAAGAATTCCAAACACAGTCTTGGGTCACAAAGCAGAACTTCTATGCGACTGAATCTCCATTCTCTTCCCAAAAAAATGGGAATTTCCACACAAATCCTACCTGTTACACCCCTACTGCACCTCTCAGGAAAATTCCAGCTGGCAGAAGCCAAGGACACAATGGATCATCACTCAATGCTCTAAAAATCAGGATAAAACTCCAGGAGGAACCACAGAAAGAATTCCAAATTCAATCGTTGCCTTTGGTCAGAAAAGCTGAACTACCATATGACCGAATCTACACCCTCTTCCCAAAAAAATGGGGATTTCCACCCAAATCCTACCTGTTACACCCCAACTGCACCTCCCAGGAAAATTCCAGGCAGGAGAAGCCAAGGACACAACAGATTTTGATGCCTTTACCATGGTTTAAAAATCAAGATGAAACTCCAGGAAGAACCACAGAGAGAATTCCAGACTCAATCGTTGCCTCAGGTTGGAAAAGCAGAACTTCCAGACAACTGAACCTCCAACCTCGTCCCAAAAAAAAAAACGGGAATTTCCTCCAAATCCCACCTGTTAAACCCCAACTGCACCTGCCAGGAAAGCTCCAGGTGAGTGAAACCAAGGACACAACGGATCATCAGCACTCAATGGTCTAAAAATCGGGATAAAACTCCAGGAAGAACCACAGAGAGAATTCCAACCTCAATCACAGCCTCAGGTCA